AAATCTGCATCTTCTGAAACATTCAATCTATAGTGTACGCCTTTGCATTCGTCGACAAAGGTATGGTTGTCTGTGTACCTTGAAACTCAAGTCTGCTCTCCCTCTGTTTGTTTTCTTTTCCCTACAACATGTGCACTCTCTTCGTCCTATATCCCATGTCATGCTCTCCCTCTGTTTGTTTTCGTTTTATGACTACAGCATGCACACTCTTGACGTCTGCGGTGGTGAAGGGAAGTGACTATCATACTTCCCGTCTTTGTGACATTCCGTGACTTAATGTGACACACGGGCATGTCGAGGCACACGGACATACACAAACACACTTCCTAACTGTGTCCGTGTCTGTGTCTGTGTGCGTCTGTGTGTGTCTTTCCTGCATGTCTGACTGTGTCTGCGTGTCCGTGTCCCCCTGTCTGTGTCTGTTCCTGTCTGCGTATGTCTGTGTATATCAGTGTGCATCTGTGTATGTCCGTGTATATCCGTGTATGTGTATGTCCGTATGTCCGTGTCTGTGTATGTCCGTGTGTCCGTTTGACACAGGCGGACACACGGACATAGACAGACATGGACATACGGACATACACATACACGGATATACACAGACATGCACTCCCAGGACACAGACGTACGCAGACAGGAACAGACACATACACGGAGACACAGACACACAGAGACAGACAGACACGGACACAGACACACACAGACACAGAGAGGGACACAGACAAAGATACGGACACACAAACAGACACACACACAGACACGGACATGTCCAAGTTGACTACTGCGTGCCGGATTCGTTTCGATGTCATTGAATCGAAGAAATTATGGCACCCAGTAGCCAACCCTCGTATGCGGACAGAGACGCATACGGATACACCGACAGACGCGGACACACAGACATACGGACACACAGACAGACACAGACACAGACACAGACAGACACGGACACAGACATATGGAGACACAGACAGACACAGAGACAAAAACAGAGACAGACACGGACACAGACATACGGAGACAGATGGTGACACAGACACATACACAGACGGATACACAGACATAGACGGATACACACACAGACATACACAGACATACACAGACACGGACACAGACATACGGAGACACCTACAGACACATTCACAGACACAGACGGATACATAGACATAGACGGATATACACAGACATCGACGAATATACACAGACATACACGGACATACACAAACATACACACACATACACAGACAACAGACATACGCAGACATACATAGACATACACAGACATACGCAGACATACATAGACATACACAGACATACGCAGACATACATAGACATACACAGACATACACACAGAGACATACACACGCAGACATATGCAGACATACATAGACACACACATACACACACACACATACACACACAGATATACACACACAGACATACACAGACATACACACACAGACATACACAGACATACACAGACACACAGACATAAACAGACATACACATACATACACAAACATACACAGACATACACAGACATACACACACAGACATACACAGACATACACACACA